TGGCAGGAGAGGATCGCTTTGCTACAGAAGTCTGCTGTAAAGTGCCAATACTCATACAAGGAACATAAATGGCAAAAAGCTCCTGGTGGCCACAATTTTATTTTGTTGGCTTAGTTCCAACCCTTGTAACTGCAGATACGCCTTTCCTTTAGCTCTCTCACCAATCTGTTTGCAGCAAGGCAAGATAAAGTTGGGTACCTCCAGGTAGATTCACCCACTTCTAGTGACCATTGTCACCAAAACATAAAGTGAAGCAAAACCAACGACAAACGCACTCAGCAATTTGTTACCAGTTATACAGTAAGTTGCACACGAAATGGGCTTTGAACAGTCAGCTGCCAATAGGATGTGCAGGATCCCTTGTGTGTTTCTGTACCTTTAAGGAGGCTGGGCGTCCTCCTGACAAACCTGCACCCAATTTGATATCTTCTGCCCCCATGTGCTCCAAGATGGAGACTCTCATAGTTTAGAGTTAGGACCGCACTATAAGAGGTGCCTTGGCGTGGCAGTGCGGCTTACACATCCTCGGCTGAAGACGTGTATCCAAACCTCTGTCATTATCCTTAGTGGTGAGACGATGTTGTTTTACATGCTGGTTTGGTGAGTGTGCCATGATGCCTTTCTGCTGTTTTACAAAACTAAAAGTGGAGACAATCCAATATTGTAGGCTGGTCACCAGAGCAGAGGAAATCCTCCAACAGGGACACTTGTTCCAATGTCAACTGAGTAGGATTCCATTTCCCTTACTATGGAGCCTCATTTCCGGTCTAACCTCGTCTAATTCCTAAATGGCCCTAAATCTCAGACCATTAAAAAGGCAGGTCAAAGTGACTTTTAGATGAGCCTTAAGGTGGCCATACACTGTACAACCATCGCAAGACTTTTAGTCTTGCGATGGTTGTAAAGGGATTTAAAAAACGTACGATCTGCCCATCTTGGACAGGCAGATCGCGCTCTCGATCGCAAGCCCACCCCCTTAGGGGCGGGCTTCCGATGACCGCAATGCTGAACGGGCTGTGTGCGCACACCGGCCCGTTCAGCATTTGTCTTCCGAGCAAAGTTCTAACCAGCCGAGAATCGTACGATTCCCGGCTGGTTTTCAAACATGCTGGTTCGATGGAAGACGTGCGACCGTACAGTAGAAACGGTCGCACGTCTCCGTTCACACTGCTCGATTATCGTACGAAAAAACGATCGCATACGATTATCGTACGATAATCGTGCAGTGTATGGGCACCTTTACATAGGAGCAAGAGAGGGAGGTTCCACTGACCCAGGCGCTTCCCATTAACACTTTTGCAACTCAGTGATCAGAATTTTTTAAATTTTTTTTTTTTAGAAAAACTATTTTATTTACAAACCCAAAACAGTTACACGTGACAGTAAAAACGCACAATATGCAGTGCCCCAAAACATGAACACTAAAAACAAGACAAACTCCTTTCAAGATACATGCAAAAGGGGGGAAATTGTGGCTTTCAACATTTAAAATCATAGAAACACCTGTAAAGAAAAAATATATTTATATAGAAAAAGTTTAGCCTTTCGACCCTTAAAGATAAACTTGTGGCATGATAATCTCACCCCAGTGCCCCCAAAGTAGCTTTCCACCATGCAGACCCTCTTCTACACTCAGGAAATCTGCTCATTTACATGCCAAAGATTAGTACAACTCACAGATGTACTTCTGGCAGCTCGGAATGTACACGCTGCAGGTTTAATGGACCTCAGTGCTAAAGTCATTTCTGCCTCCCCCTTCTCCAGGCCATTGACAAAATACACACCGCCAGGTTTCATTTTGTGAATGGCTTGGAGGAGAGGGAGGCTGAGACATGACCATAGTGCTGGCATCTATGAAACCTACAGCACTTACATCCTGAGAAGTACAAGCAGATCTGCCGGGTATAGAAGAGAGCCTGCATAAAGGGAGGTTGCTTTGCGGCACTGGAATATTTGATGGCTTTAACTGGGGTAAGGTTATTGCTCCGGAGTTGGGCTACTACAGATCCCGGCATGTGCCGACAACCAGGTGTCACCAGTGCAAGCTGGGATACGTAGTCCCCGTAGCATTCAAGCCATTCACACAGGTTGGTGTTACTTATTCCAGCTGTTCGGAATGGCAATGGCTCCACTCATTCTCTACAGTCACCCTCCTAATATATAAATACGCAGAGTAATATACAGCACAGCTTGCTTTTTCACTCTTTACAATCTGCAAAGCTTGGCGCAGTGCGACACCCAATGAATATACAGATAAGTTTGTACATCAGACCCTATTACCCATCACAGCTCTCCATTTAACAGTATATACACAATAGATTCAGGTGATGAGAAAGGAACTCTGAAGCAGAGCTGGCGTCATGTGACCAGGTTGCAGATGTTGGATCACGAGTACAGTACATATCACCCTGGCAAGGGCTATTTAGCCGGGCCGTAACCAAAGCTTGGCGGCATGATACGGCGAGAGTTGGCGCGCACCCATGGATGCTCCATGACGCATTTCAGTGGCAGGCGCTGTGCTGGGTTGTATTTCAAGAGCTTGGCGATGAGGTCTTTGGATCCTTCGGATAGGAAGGAAGGAAAACGCAGGTCAACCTAAGACAGAAGGAAAAAAAAAAAAACACCCATGAATAAGCAGAAAGCCAACATTACAGCTAAACTCAATGCAAACTGATAATACAGATATAAAACATTGGTGGTAGCTGTATTAAAGGATTGGTTTGTCAATCCAGTCCTGACATTTACGCAGCACAGCCGTGATCTTTCTCTACGGCAGTTAAGACTTGCAAATCATGTACCTTCCCAAGACTGACTGGGCAGGGAAAGGAAGCAGCAGACTGAAGCTCACTCTGCTCTCTCCTTGTACCTGCATGCTACTTAGCACATGAGCTCTGCAGCACAACTGATCAAATCAGATCTCATTCGATATTTGTCTTCCGACGAGCAGGAGGCGGCTGAACATTGGTGGAGGAAGGGGTGGCAACGGTGACTTCCCTAGCTCAAAAAGTCACAGCACGGATCAGAATGGGCCAAGTGCTAAATGCAGTTGCCCCCCCCTGAGGGATTCAACATAGAATTACTGTATAAGCTGTGGTGATCTTTCTTTAAAGTGACAGCAGACACTCCCCATTCAAATCTGAATTTAACATGAACTGAAAGGCGCTTTAAATTCTTCGGCAATGCTGCTTGAAGCTTACCAAAATCTTTCCAATGCTTTGTAAAGCTTTCTGTACACACTGCTGTCGTGTAAAAGAATTTAAAATCCCATTAAAACTATTAACCACAACAATTGAGGTGACCACACGTGCCTACGTTTTACAAAAAGATTCTCATCAGCTCACCTTGACTATCCTGCGGTGGGTCTCTGTGTGTGACGGGCTCTCAAAAGGCGGCGACCCGACCAGGAGCTCAAAGCAGAGAACGCCTGTGCACCACAAATCCACCTTCTCGTCGTGGGTCTTGCCCTCAATCATCTCTGGAGGCAGATAGTCCAGTGTGCCACACATAGTGCGTCGCCTGTAACACAAGCTTGGTGAGTACTTAGCCCCGGCTTAGCATCCCGCACCCAGCTACAGCATCGGCCCAGCATCCCGCACCCAGCTACAGCATCGGCACCCGGCATCCCGCACCCAACTACAGCATCCCGCACCACAGCATCCCGCACCCAACGCAGGTGCAGAACACACCAAATTCCAGTCTCAGAACATACCTGAGCGAGGGGGCATGAACCGACCAGCCAAAGTCCGCAATCTTCAGCTCCCCCTTATATCCCATTAGAAGATTCTCCGGTTTGATGTCCCTGTGGATAACCTTCCTCTCATGGCAGTATTGGAGCGCATCCGCAAGTTCCTCTATAAACTGCCAAGAAATAAGAATACATGGAAAATACAGTAATATAAAAAAACACCTAACTTTAATAGGAAGTTATCTAGTATCAGATTAGACTCCTCCCCCCTTCCTGGTCTCCAGATCAGCCTGAACATATCAAAGTGCTGGGAATGCTCCCCAGGGTTCCTGGTCCAGGCCGTTCCGTGGCAGTGTACAGTTTGGTTCCATCTCAACCTGAAAATGCTGAAATGAAATCTGATCCCCCTCTTCCCACCATGGAGGTTCCATCAGGCCAACCAACATTTGTTTCAGCCTTTGATTGTCCAGTTTGGATGATTGTTTGCCCACCCCACAATGACTTGTGGACCTAGGAACAGAGAGTCTCCTTACAGATCTGAAGGCCAACACAGGGAATGGTGGACCTAAGAAACTGAGGGGCTACCCACAGATCTGTAGGCCAACACAGGGACTTGTGGTCCCTGGATTTCACCACCGTTGTGTAGGAAACATTTTAGGCCATTTCAGGGTCACTTTAAATGGCTGCCTCCACATTCCTCTCATGGCAGCAATACTACAAGCAGCAGGCTTACCGTGGCGCTTCTCTGCTCATCAAACCGGCCACATTTTTGCAGCTCCTTGTACATCTCCCCCCGCGAAGCAAACTCTAGCATCAGGTAGATACGTTTGCGGTCATGGAAATAATTCAGCATGCGGAGGATATTTGGATGCCTGAGGGTAGAAACAAGGGGGATGATTAGAAGGATTTATACACCAGACATACAATGATACGTACTCTGCAGCATTTCTGTGTCAGCAGGCCTTCAGCCCTTTCCATCTTTCTCACACATGTTAAAGAGAACTATGGGAAAAAACACTGACCCCATACTTCTCCTTTAAGACTGGCTACAAAATTTACTTAAAACCCCCAACATTTTCTGAAAGCAGAGACTATAGAACGAAAAGTTGGAAGTTGCAATGTTTTGTGCGATATCTGCTGTTTATTAAAGTGCAAGTGAAGCCAAAACTTTTCGTTTTGGATGGAGTGGGGAGGAAGTAGAACAGTCGGGGTTTTATCACTGGGGGTGTTACCTTTAGGGAGATTTACACCCCTCTATTTGTCCCGGTGACTCATCACTGAACATGAAAGAGCCAAGATTTTCAGTTGTCATGAGAACAGGAATAGGAGAAATCTTCCAATGGGGGACACAGGATCTGGCGGCCACCAGTGATTTCCCTCTTTCTGGAGGATTTCCTCTCATTTCCTGTTGCGATTGAACAGGAAGACACCAATGGGACACTGATGGCAAACAAAACCTCCAAAAAACAAAGAGTTTAGGCGTCACTTCTATTTTATATAATGGGAGTCAGACCTGGAACAAACCTGTCTTACACAAGTCTGAATTCCTCATCTCTTTGTTCCGGGTCAAAGATTTTGAAAGCATTAAAGTCAAAGCGCCAGGGAACCAACACCGCCAAAGGAGAGGCCAGCAATGGCAGCCCCCATACATCACATGACAGTCACTTGTGTATTTGCTATGTGACAAGTATATTAGCTGCCTAGAAAGACAGACATTTCCCAGGAAGCATTGCCTGAAGTCCTACAGGTAGCACACGGGGCCCATCGGGAAAGTAAGAACTTACTTCAGATGAGACTGGATCTCGATCTCCCTCCTCAGCTGATGCTCCACCCCTTCTTTCTCCAGTTGGGATTTGAAGAGAACCTTCAGGGCCAGGATGTACTTGGTCTCCTTGTGGCGGGCCAGGTAGACGTTCCCAAACTTGCCCTTACCTAGAGGACGGCCAATCTGGAAGTCGTCCATACTGAACTTTTTTTGGCTAAATTGGCAAATATTGAGAAAAAAAAAATAAAGATAAAATTAGTACAGGAGAAGAGGGGGCCTCCCTTATCAAGACGTTTCCTATTATATAGTTGCATGAAATCCTTGTGGGTAAGTTTGCACGTAACGACGGACTACGGACGGACTGACAATATGTTCGGGGCCCCCCACCCCATGTACGCAATGTGTCTTAGAATTTGCTAGAAAATTTAAGTACTCCAGGAAGTTAACTCCCCCCAAGCCATCCCATATTGATCATAGCCCTTCTAGGAGTGTCCAATTAAAGTATGTGCTGGCCCAGCTGCACCATCTCTCCCTTTATAAAGGTGCCAAGCAAGGATATGAAAAAAACCTGCTGTATAAATGCGAGCGTGGTCCAATACGTCTGCCATTACTGTGATGGGTAGCGCTCCGCAGGTCACAGATTAGGTGGACTTACCCCTCCATGGATTTGTCAGGCTGGCTCTCAGGCTGATTCTCGGCCACCGGCACCCTGCCGGCCATCACTGCGGAGAAGAGATAACAGATGAGTGGCAGTGTGTGATATATATA